CCTCTTCTTTGTCTAATGTCTCATTATTAAGTCATTTTCACCCTCATCGCCTAAATTAAGAGTTTTGGCTTACAAGTAATATATATTTCAAACAACAACCAACTCTTATTTACACATCAAGAGCATACATTGGACCAATCAATGTAATAATAACATGTGAAACGAAAATAGGTAGTATTTGTATCTTTTTACTTTAGAGAGAGAGAGAGAGACAGAGAAAAAAAAAAACACCAATAGCTAGGCTAAGAATTTTCTTTATCTAAAATTTACCGATCATTACCAACATACGATTGAATCAGCGAGAGTGAAATGCTTTCTTTTGCAGATTTATTTGTAAGTATGGACAGAGCTACACTCTAAATCTAGAGAGGGCCAAAAGAAAATTTTCAAAATTAAGAGGCCAAATCAAGGAAAAAAATTTTTTTTTGCACCATTTATAAGTAAAATTTTTAAAATTCTTTTGAGTTTGGAGGGCCGGATTCCCCATTCCCCCTCCCTCTGTCCCTGTTTGTAAGATTAAAAGTTTGTAATCTGAAATTGTTAGTTATTAGAATGATTTTACATGAATATGAGTTTGACCCAACTATCAATATAATTTAGATATAGAGAGGCCAGAGAATTAAATGCAAAATTTTCTTTCTTTGACCGTATGTTAGTGCATTTTTACATCTTATTGCCTTCAAAGACATTATTATTTCAATATTTTCAGGTACTTGTTGTGTGTAAGGTGACAAGGATGTATAAAGAAAAAGAACCGTTGGATTGATTATCTGGAAAGAAATGCAGCAATCAAACTCAATTTCCTTGTATTCTGGGTCACGAGTTCTCAATTTTGTATTGTTTGAAACTTGAAGTCCAATTCTGATTCTCATGGTACAATTTAATTAGTGCATTTAATAAGTTTTCCAAACACAACTTATAATTTGTTTGAATTCAAACTATTCGAGAAAATATCAAAAAGGAGATTTTGTAATTAATTAATTAATTATATATACAAAAATGGAGATTTTGGTAATTAATTAATTTAATTATCTATATATATATTATATATAAGTATTATATATTAATATTCACGATTTTGTCAGATTTCCCTAAAAAAAGAAAATGCTTTCCTGAAGCTATTTGCTTTTAACAGAGTTCTTTCTCACAGATGAAATATAAATAATGGATCAAACTTAACTAAATATATATTACGTTTTCAATTTCCCTAAAAAAAGAAAATGCTTTCTGAATAATTTGCTTTTAAGAGTTCTTCTCACAGATGAAATAAAATATGGAGCAAACTAACTAATAAACTGAGGCTTTGTTTGGGAGTGAGAATGGGGGGAAAGAAAATGAATTGAATTAATTACGTTCTATTTGCTTCAATCTACTAGTCAATACCATAGCCACATATATTTTCCTTGCATTTTCTTTCTTCTCAATATTCTCCCTCCCAAACAAAGTCTAAGCAAATCCTTGAGGTTAGAAACTCAATGAAATTGAAACATGTAACCAGGTCTACATTTCAACCGCCTAATATATAAATTTGATCATGTACTTTTGGTGATTATTTTTGTAGCCTCTTGAACTTTGCAGGGAGCTCATCACGATCTTACAGTTTCATATTTCGGTAATACTTATGTCATTCACCCAAATGAAATATAAAAGTGCATGATCATAATTGAACCCCGTAAAGTTCACGAAGCCACAGAAGAATCAACGAAAGTTCAGGATCAAATTTATGCATTAGTCGAATTTCAAATCAGCTTAATTTTGTGAATTGGCAATCAAATATGACATCAAAATGATAAACTGCAACATTAATGGGTTGGAATTGGGATTTAAATGGAGCATAAGGGATTCCATCCTCTATAGAATTTTAGTTATTATATTACTAGAAAAAATTGCCAACCAGATTTAGGGATACCCATTAAGCTTTAACCTAGGAATTAAGCAAGTTAAGTATATGTCTTTGCAAAAGTAGGTGAAATTATAACTATTAACCAAATTTAGAACTAATGTGTGTGGTCCTGTTGGAATTGACAAGCAAACAAGACCCTTGTGAAAGATTTTAGTGGCACAGTTGAAATCATATTATAAAGAAAAAAACAAAGAAAGAAAAAATTGGAAAACCCTAATATTGACATTGGAATGGCATCAATCACAACCCTAATAGTATCCCAATACACAATTATAGAGAAACAATGATTCTTGGCTGCACATACACATGGGCAAGTCCTTTTTTAAAAAAAGAGGAATATTTATTCTTGTAACCAAACATCACAGAAAATGATGCTTCCCTTACCGATCTGAGCTTTCTTCATACAGATAACCATAAGGGATCTGTCCAATTTCTTATCTTTTCTTTTGATTTTTATGGGTTTAATATATTCTTTATATATTAATCTTTACACTGCCACTAACACAATTATGGTGTCTTACTTAAATTAATCACCTTGATTTGAATTAAGAAAGGTCTAGATGGAAAGCATGTGAGAATGAAAGTCCAAGAAAAGGAATAGTTTCATCAAATTAATTGATTAATTGGCTTCTGATATGGATCCATGTGTTATTTAAAAAATATTATTATTGATAAGGACACACATTGCCAAGTTCGATTTTTTTTTTTTTAACTTTTCGGTATCTAAAATTCAGTGGCTCGATTAATCTGGATTCTCATTGGGTAAATTCATAAAGGGGTAAAGGGGTCTTTCCCGAGTGTTTAAAACCATATCCAAAGATCGAATTCGAAACCTCTAGTTAAGGGAAAATAAATTTCCGTCATCTCATCTCACTTTTTAAGAGTTGACGAAATTGAATTTAATTCTTGATCATTAAAAAAAAAAAACTCAAATTAAAACAAATTAAACGAAAATAAATATAATTATTTGTCTCTAAAGTTTGATCGCTTCGTTTGTTGTCCAATGAAAATTCACCTTTTAGTAGTGGAAAATTTATATCACAAAAAGAAAATATATAGACTTTCTATCTTTGCATTATCAAGATCCTCTTCTTGTATTGGCAAAAAGTCTATACTATAGTCTCCAATTTGTATTTCTTTTATTGGTGCCCTAATAAATATTCAAACTATTTATATATAATAATCCTAAAAACAATCAACTAGGAGCTAGAAGAATCATGATTAAGATGAATTGGTTGAGAGGATAATGGGGTTGATAAAATAAAAAAAGGTCATTGAAAAAGTTGATGTTGAGATGAGTATAGCCATAGAAATTGAAAGCAGATGACAGCCTTGTTTCAAAGGGAAATCATCTTAGAAAAAAATGAAAATTGATATCCACCAAGAAAGGTTGTTGTTGAGGGTTGTGAAGTATTACTAGGTATTGGAGAATAAAGGCAAGAAAATTAATTAAGATTTAAAAATAGAAAATAAAAGCACTAACCTATGAAGAAAGAAATCTAGTGAAGCCTTAACCAATGGTTCAAAAGAGCTATAAATATTATGACTATGAAATACAATTTAGAGGGAATTTCTTTGTCATAATGGCTTATGTTTGCCTTTAGTACCCATTTTTAGGGTTCTCTTTTTTTTTTTTTTTTTTTTTTAAATTTCTTTCATAATGGCTATATGTTGCTTTTAGTACCCATTTTTTAGGTCTCTTTTGTTTTTTTTTTTTTTTTTTTTTTTTTTTTTTTTTTTTTTTTTAATATATAATTTATTATTATGGAGAAATAAGCAAAACCTATATATGTTAACTCATTTGACTTTGATTCAAAGATAAATAATGGATAATGATAAAAAATAAAGATAAATACTTGACAAGGTCATGTTTGGCTGTTCAATAATTATGAGAAACTTAAATTAGGCCAATGTTGAATAAAACCATATAGGCCAATTTTCTAAGGTTTGTTTTGTGGGTTCCACTTGAATGGTTTTCAATTCAAAGGAAAGGAGTTAAGCCATCAAACTCTGTGGAAAGCAAAACCACATGCTTCCAATTTAATGGAGCATCCAAACAAACCATAAATTATGACTTCTTTACATAAATTATGACTATCTTAATATCTTATAATAAATAATATAATTTTTTTTTTTTTTTTTTGAGAGGGAGCAAATTTTTGAGAGGAGAAAGATTAGGGCATATGATATCACTTGAAATTTTCATATTCCAAATTGGGATTCCTTGAGAGGCAGGGAATATATTGAGAGAGCAATCGAAAAAATACGAAAAAAATACAAAAGAATCAAATTGTACATATAGTCTATTACTGTTAAATGGCTATTCAGAAATTGACCCACTTTGTGTTAGCCCAGAAAGAGGCTGCTTTTGTTGGCAGGCTTACTATTACTATTATTATTGTTTTCTTTCAAGGTCAAGCTTTACAAAAGTCCAAAAGTCTTAATATGAAATAGGGTTGTCATCGCGATGCATTCTTTTTTTTTTTTTTTTTTTTTTTTATTCATTCGGTGGTCCGATGTACCAAAATAACACTGTGGGAATACACAATAGGATGGGTCCTAGACACAACGGTCCATCAGTGGTTTCAACGCTTAGGAATTTTGTATAGATAGAGTATAACAGATCCAAATTTTTTTTTTTTTTTTTTTTATTCATTCGGTGGTCCGATGTACCAAAATAACACTGCTGGATACACAATAGGATGGTGCTCCCCTAGACACACGGGTCAATTCAGTTGGTTTCACCCTTAGGAATTTGTATAGATAGATATAACAGATCCAAATTGGACCATTTCATTTTCTCCAAGAAAAATATTCGATTATCATTTAAACTGAGACTAGAAACAAACTATAGTATAGCCTTTTCACATTGAATTACATATATGTTTTGATGTTAAAATATATTGATTAGAAGTCATTAAAATGTATTTAAAAAAGAATTTACCAATAATAGATTAAAGTTTGTTTTTACAATAACATTTTTTGGCATTATAATGTTTACAGATGAAAGGAAAGGTCACATTTTTGGTAATATCAAACTCTAAACATCTTCATTTGCAACATCTTTGGTAATGTCGAACTCTAGAACATGCCAAAATTGAAGGAAGAAGAAACTTGGGACAAATTGTCACATTATGTGCAACAAATTTGCAAAGTGGTTTGGATGTACATCTCAGAATGAAGCTAATGAGGCTGTATTACAGTATTAAGCTACACCTTCAATCTTTTCTAGTTAAAACTAATCTAAACTCCATTCCTCATTGGATATCTAGCCACAACAAATCATAAATTTGCTAACTTTTGTAGGGAGGAGAAATTTTCACCAATTCTGTTGAGATCTTCCTGGTCAATTTCCACCGTTCTAAACAATTTTTGAGAAAGATAATCCAATTCTTTTATAGGCGAGAAGTCATTCTTGGCAGCCCCTTCATGAGATACCTCCATGACCATGGTTTCTGTTTGGCTCTTGTGATTGTAGAGCTGCGTTTTCATTTCCAGGCAAGATGCTAGATCCTCTTCGTTTCGGGCTTTGTTCAATTTGTCAGTAAGATCACTTACAGCTGAAGTCCTCTCGGCCCATGACTTTTTTGTTTCCTCTTGCTGTTTGTTGAGCTCATTCTCGCTGTTTTGGTCATTATCGTTGTCATTAAACTCACGTTTCTGAAACCTTTTTAACCCTCCATCGATTATTTGTTGTACCCTCTTCCTAAAGTTCTCATTTCTTGTTGGATTCAACATAAGCTTCAGCTTCTTACCAGCAGTAGCCTTATCTGTGTGATCTTCTGCAGAAGTATTGTCCAAATTTGAAGATTGAGAGCCATCCTCGGTGGATACTTTTGAGTTCACAGAAAACACCTCCTCCAGTAACGTAATATTTTGCATATACCGATCAAAAGCTACATTTTCTACTTCAATGTTTCTATCCCTGTATTCTTTTAACTTGGAGAATCTCCATTCATTTATAGATGCAGCTTCCTGCAATAGGTTCCATGAAAATCATTCTCACATGCGTTACTAACAGAAAACAAAAGCATAACCAAAAAATACAAGCATTACAAGACATCAGGTCATTACTGTGCACCTTTCTGGTCAATGGCTTCCTTGAACGTGATGCATGCAAATTGTTGAATTGAGAAAAGTTGTTAGAGAGTTGTCGAAGCGATGCAACCCTAAGTGAACTCCTGGAAAGAAAACATACATTAACGAATATCCCAATCAAGTGTTAAACCATAGTTACTAACGTGCTTATGAGACGATGCTACAAGAGAACTCCACGAGACAAAAACCCAGGTTACCAAAAGTGATATTCCACATGCAAATTGCAGCAAGTCTCTTTATCCACGGTCATAAACCAATCTACAAGAGCACAGTAAAATAACCTAAGGAAAAGAGGTTGCTTAACTAGAAACTACCCACCAACGTTTAAAAGCAATGATGAAGCTAGATGCGCATAAGCAGATCATATGGTTGATGCTCGTAACTTACGCTGCAGGAGATACTTCAGTTGACTGCTGATCAAACAGAGGAGTGCTTGAAGTTGTTGTCTTGTCTGGAAAAGTTGCATTTGCTTTCAAAACTGCACTTACAAAATCAAAGATATCAAAAGATAAATAAAACTAAAGATAAAATGCAATTTGCATTATAAACCTTTAATATCAAAGATAATATACTTGCGATACAAAGAATAATAGGCTGGCAAAGATACTGAAAAATAGGACTTCTATCATTCAATGAAAAGATGCAGATACTCCTTTCTAAAGTGGATAGCTTATGATAGTGCAATGAAAATTCCCCACTCACTAGTGGCAGAATAAGTTTATAAAGGACTCACAACAGAATAGAGTCTAAATTTATAATGGCTCCATCTTTGAATTCCTCAACGGTAAACTTTCAGACAATTGCAAGCATCACTTTCTGCCCACCAATGCAAATATGTAGCATTTAATTTTTCCTTTTTTTTTCTTTTTACAAGGGATTTATTTTATGGCAAACACGTCATGAATGTCCTTTGCTTTGGTGCTCAGGTCTGGAAAAATGGGACATTAAAACTGCAACCCCTACATGGATAACAGAATTGACTTGTTCCAATGCAGTAGAGACATGTGAGTTCTGAACATAAATCATAAACAGAGAGAGTCTTCTTATTAGCAGTGGCAGCAAAAGGACTTGGTGAAATGCCCAGTCAGAAATTTATTTAAACCCTATTTCGGTTTCATGGAAATTATGGCCACAGAGTTCGAATCTTGAGAACACACCCAGTTCCATTACTTTTTTGGTCTAATTGCTTTCATTCTCATGAAATCAAAATCCAACAATCACAATGAAGTACAAGTCCCAGCTTCTAGCTGGGACTAGCATATGCAAATTATACTTATACATTCTAACTCTTTCTCACTGTTGCTACAATTGTTGCTCCCTTTACTCACTTTGCAACTAGAATATCTATCACCAAAACTTTTACTGTCACAATATTCTAAATCATTAATCATGCCAAGACTAGCATCCATAGTTACCTTCATGATCACAGTTGCCAAGTATATATCAGCGCAGGCAGCAGCATCATTAATGCTAATAACATCACAACCATGACAATGAAACATCACCAAGACCCACACCACTACCACTTTTTGCACAATTATGATCATAAAATACAATCATTGATCAGTTTAGTCTCTGTGTCACTGCCTAAATGGCATTATTGCAAGCATTATTGTCGCTAGAATTATTACTATATTTACTATCCCCACTCTGTAGAAAATCATCAACTATGAGACAACAAATTCAAGTTTCTCAGAAGTCAAGAACATCCAATTCTGGTTTATGTTTTCTTAGTTATCAGATCTCATAAACCCTAAGACCAAACAATTCCTAATTGTAAAATTCTAAACAAAAAAGAACAAGGTTTTAATTACAATGTATGCAGTTTATTTGCATATTTAGCTTTAAAAGTTCCAGTTAGTCCTTGCATGGTTTTGTCAACTATATCTAATTTATTTAGAACTTCATAAATTTGTTTACAACTCGGGAATCCCATTCTTATGTGAATAGCAAATAGTTGGTAAGCATTTGTGTCCTTCATGTTACCTATCATAAAAACAGGCGTCTATTAGCATTTCCACCAGTATATCAACCCAACTTTTTATCCCCCTTGCCTTTTGTTTAATTTTCATGTATAAATCTTCAACCATGAATTTGCAAGCTCAAAGAAAAGATTACCCTTAGCCACTGTAACACTCATCAAAGATATAATGAAATATCTTTTTCTTCCATGCCCCTAAATCAACAACCCCGCCCACATTTGATAAATGTAACCCACCAAATAGTTGTCCCAAGTGTTTCAATGCAACAAAATCTAGAAGTCTCCAACCCTACACCACAGCTTCAAACAATCATATGCCCAGTTGCAGCTGCTCTATGTCAGTTCCCCCATACCATACTTTGACCAGAAATCAGCCGATCCCTGCTTCTGAGATTCCTTGAACAAATAGGATCAAACCAGCCCTCCTTAAAGTAGTTTTTGGATACTTTGCGAATGCACCCAGAAGGTACTTTTGTCAAAACAACACCAAAGAAGAACCACATTGATGTTTCACCTCATCTTTCAACAAAATTTATAAAACAACTCATTGATCTTTGTTGCAATTCAATGAGAAGGCTAAAACATCATAATAAATTTAATTTGCAAACAAAACTTTATGTAACAAAAAGAATTATTCTTCAACATTATAACTATGAATATATGAGCATACCATGAATATGGCATGGATTTTGAGCTTTTGAACAGCAACTTTTGCATGACTGGTAGGGACACCTGCATAGGTAGTTCAATGTATAAAAGGTGTCAATGGAAGGAAGGATATATCAAATTGTTTCGAAACGTACACATACAGTAGTCTATGGAAACTAATACTTTTACACTACAATGAAAATACATAGAATAAGTTCATACTTCCAATCACATTTACTACAAAAATTACAACTATATTAAACTATGCAGCGCCCTTAAATAGTTTTGAATATCAGCCACTAACAGATAATAGAATTTGTGAGGCTGCTATAGTGATTCAGACTTGCATATCATAGTTGAAAATAGAGTTGTAAATAGAGTTAGTTGAAAATAGAGTTCTATTAGGAATTAGATTCCTAATAGGTTTATAGTATCATGTATATGTATATATATGTGTCCCTATTGATGAAAAAACTAAATTACATGGTATCAGAGCCTTTGGCTCGTTAGCGTTTTTTTTTTTTTTTTTTTTTTTTTTTTTTTTTTTTTTTTTTATATGTTGTCCCCTATTGATTGAAAAAACTATAAATTACATGGTATCAGAGCCCTTTTGGCTCGTTTTAGAGTTTTTTCTTATTTTTTTTTTTTTTTTTTTTTTTCTTTTTTTTTGTTTTTTTTTCGATTTCTGCATTGACGTTTCCGGCGACAACTTTGTTTCGCGACTATCAATCTCAGTCTCCCACCTAGGCCTTTGCTTTTGTCTCACCGCCACCCAAGGGAGGAAGAGTGACCTCCAATCGGCGTGTCTCCACCAAATCCGATGGCCTGAAGACTGGCGAGTGTGCCTCACGCGCCGTCATAAGAATCTGATGTCATCTCACGCGCCAACGAGTGGAGGCGCGTCCGGCAGTTTCCGATGACTGGGTTTCGTCCTCTAGGATCGACTTGCCGTCCAAATTCTTTTCTAGTGCTTGGTTTCGGCTCCGACAGCATCTGGGCGCTTTCTTTGTTTTTTACTACTGCTGTTTGCGGCTTTCGGTTCCCTTTGGAGTTGCTAATGTTCTGTTGGGTTCGTGCTATTATTTGGTTGCTGTTGGGGTGTTTAGTTTTTATTAATGGATACTGAACCTACAGATTCTAAAGCTATTATTACTGAATTGATCCCAGCAATGAATAACACAGAACATAAATTGAAAAGAACTAATTTTTTAGATTGGAGTAAGACAATTAGAATTTATTTGTGAAGTGTTGAAAAAGATGATCATCTAATTGATGATCCACCAATTAGTGACAATAGACAAAGTTGGCTAAGGGAAGATGCTAAGTTATTTCTACTGATAATCTTAGTGACAATAGAGCAAAGTTGGCTAAAAAAGATGATCATCTAATTGATGATCCACCAATTAGTGACAATAGACAAAGTTGGCTAAGGGAAGATGCTAAGTTATTTCTACTGATTCGAAATCCTGTTGATAGTGACGTGGTTGGGTTAATTAATCATTGTAAGTTTGTTAAAAAATTAAGGAATATCTTGAATTTTTGTATTCGGGAAAAGGTAATATGTCTCGTATGTATGAGGTCTGCAAAAGATTTTATCGAGCAAACCAGCAAAATAAGTCCCTTACAGCTTATTTCATGGAATGTTTTATTGCCTTTTAGCCCCGATATCAACCCGATATCAAGGTTCAACAGACTCTAGCTGATGGGTCCATATCTTCTGTCAAGTGTGTTGACACCACCAATCCCATCCCATTTCTTCCGTTGTCTTTTGTTTTTTGTTTGCCTTGTTTTTCATTCTATTGTCTGTTAGCAAAATTACTCGTCTACTGAATTGTTGTGTTAAATTTTATCCTATCTATCGTGTGTTTCAGGATCTTTTGACGATGCAGATTATTGGTAGAGGACGTAAGTCAGGTGGCCTTTATCTTCTGGATGAACACGTTTTGTCATCTCTGGCTTGTGCTGGTGCTCTCTCTCCTCTTGAGGTTCATTGTCGTTTGGGTCATCCTTCATTGTCTACTTTAAAGAAGTTGTGTACGCAGTTTCAGTTTTTATCAATTTTAGAATGTGAATCTTGTCAATTTGTCAAACATCATCGTTTACCTTTAGTTCCTAGAGTCAATAAACGGGTTTCATCCCCTTTTGAGTTAGTTCATTCTGATGTTTGGGGTCCATGTCTATTTCTAAAACTGGTTTTTGATATTTTGTAACTTTTGTGGATGATTATTCTCAAGTTACTTGGTTATTTTTAATGAAAACTCGTTCTGAGATATTCTCTATTTCCTGTTCCTTTTGTGCTGTGATTAAAACTCAATTTAATGCCTCTGTTCGCATATTGTAAAGTGATAATGCTAAAGAATATCTACCTAGTTCCTTCCAATCTTATATATCACAGAATGGTATTCTTCATTAAACATCTTGTGTTGATACTCCTCAAAATAGGGTTGCAGAAAGAAAAAATCGACATCTTCTTGAGGTTGCTAGGGCACTTCTATTCCAAATGAAGGTCCCTAAACATTTAAGGGCGGATGCTGTCTCTACTGCATATTTTTTTATTAATCGCATGCCTTCTTCTGTGCTTAATGGTGCAATTCCTTATAGTGTCTTGTTTCCTTCTAAACTTTTATTCCCCATTGAACCTCGTATTTTTTTTGTTTTGTACTTATTTTGTTCTGTGATGTTCGTCCACAGGTTTCAAATAATCCAAAGCCCTCGTTTGTGTTTCCTGGTTATTCTCGCAATCAAAGAGTATCGTTGCTTTCTCTCCCGATCTTAACCTTATCTTATTTCGTAGATTTCACAGATTATTGGTGTTTCCGTTTCTTTATAAACATGGGGTGCCATAGAGGGGGATTCATCTTAATCTTTGATCCGATCCACTCGATTAGGGGTTCTAGGAATTCATTTCCTTTTGGGTTCCGCGTCAGCTTCTATTTCTGAACTTGCAACTATTCCTGCTACGACGTCTACTGCTCCTATTCCCCCCTCCTGCATCAGCATCTGCCTGCCCCCGTTTTGAACAGTTTGATTCCAGGAGACCAGGAACTCTAGACTCGCTTCCCCCACCTGCCGCTTCAAGAGAAGATCCAGTTCCCTCCACTCAACCTGAGCCTGTGCCATCCACTCCTCAGTCAGACCTTGACCTACCCATTGCTCTTCAAAAACGTAAATACAAGTGTACCTATCCTCTTTCGTCTTTTGTTAGTTATAATCGTCTTTCTTCTTCTACCCTAAAACTTGTGTCACTTTTGTGTGCGACCAGCAATGAAAAGAGGAGAATGGCTACCTTAATACTTAATGTACTGATCTGTACCCTCTCTCCAACAGGTAAAGAAAGCTATCGTTGTAAATGGATTTCACAATTAAAATGAACCTGATGATCTGTTTGCTCTCTCAAAGCCGATTAGTGCTAAGGCTATTCTCAGAATCTTATGGGCCCTTGATTACTCTAAATACTTTTTCTCGTAGCCAAATTGTCTTCTATTCGTTGTTCATTTCAATAATTAAGACATATATAGACTAAAGACCTACATCGTTGATGTTAAATGCTTTCTTCATGGGATTTTAGGATAATTTTACATGAGCAACCACAGCTTTGTTTCTCATGGGGAGTCGGGTAAAGTGTGTAAACTTCGAAAATCTCTTATGCCTAAACAGAGTCCTTGAGCTTCGTATTGGTAGGATTTTGCATTGTGGTACACCAAATTTGCATGCAGAGAGAGTACTTCTTCGATTCTATATTTTTCAAAGCACTAGACTGTTTGATTCACTGTATATGTTATGACATTGTTATTACAGGTGTGATTTATGTTGATAACTGTTATTACCAGGAGTGATTCACGGGCATTACATCACTCATAATCATTCTTCAGACTCTAGTCCAGACGAAAGGACAGTATTTTTTGGTATTTGAAGGTCATAGCTGTTAAGAAGCATTCTTCTTATCTCCAAAGAAAGTATATTCCTTGATACTGAAGAAACTGAAAAGTTGGTTTGCCAAAGCCAGCATGTTGCCCCCAATGAACTCCCAATTGCAACTTTCAATTGGTGGAAGTTGTTTGATGATCCCCCGACTGTATAGAAGATTGCGTGGCCAATAGTGAATTATCCTTACGGTAACACATCCAAATCATTGCATTATTCTGGAGCGTTCTAAGCCAGTTTAATGATCTTCTCCTACTGTTATCCATGGGAAAGCTTTAGGACAATTTTTGTATTGAAAGTTAATCCAGGTCTATGCCTCCTTTACAAATCAATGGGCATAATTTGAACATGAGTGTTTTCAACATAATCAGCCAATTTTCGAAGGTTATCAAGAAGATCACTTCGGGATATTGTTGTCGTTGTGGTGGAAATACTTAATACTTGAGAGCAAAAAACAAAATATATAGTCTTCACAGTCGACAATACTGAATCAGAATTAATCGACTATGCACCAATCTGCTTGTTAAATAAATTACTTCGTCAATTGTTAGAAGCAATAGTGGCTTCAGTCATCGTTGCTAACAAATTATGGTCTAATTAATCAAGCTGCTCTCAACATTACAAACAATCTAGTTATTTCATGAACAAAACAAAAACATTATCGAATGATTGTCACTTCATTCGTGAAATAAATTACAACAGGTTTATTCTCTACAGAGCAGTTAAAACAAATTTACTGAACATTAGGAATCTTTACAAAACCTCTAAATTGGACCTCGCTTTAAACTACTTTGTAACAATTTGGGCATGCATTAACATCTATGCTCCCATACTTAGTTCGAAGGTTGATAGAAGATCAACTTCAGGATATTGTGTCTTTGTGGGTGGAAACTTAATATCGTGGAGGAGCAAGAAACAAAATGTAGTCTCACAGTCGAGTACTGAATCAGAATATCGAGCTATGGCACAATCTGCTTGTGAAATAATTTGGATTCGTCAATTGTTAGAAGAAAGTGGCTTCAGGTCATCGTTGCCTACAAAGTTATGGTGTAATAATCAAGCTGCTCTTCACATTACATCAAATCTAGTATTCCATGAACAAACAAAACATATCGAGATTGATTGTCATTTCATTCGTGAAAAGATACAACAGGGTGTTATCTCTACAGAGCACGTTAAAACAAGTGAACAGTTAGGAGATCTTTACAAAAGCTCTAAATGGACCTCGGTTAACTATCTTTGTAACAAGTTGGGCATGATTAACATCTATGCTCCAACTTGAGGGGGATTGCTAAGGATTAGTTGTAAATAGAGTTCTATTAGGAGTTAAAGATTCCTAATAGGTTTATAGTATCCTGTATATGTATATATATGTGTCCCCATTGATGAAAAAACTAAGAGAGAATATTTTCTTCACACTTGAATTACACATATCATAGTTGAAATACCTCCTTTAGCCAAATGTAAATAATACAATTCTGAATTTATATATAGATTGAATGTATCAGTCAGTTTCAGCTAGCTTTTGGGTTGCAAACTAGCTTAAGCTTCATAGAAAATTGAAAAATTCCACAAGCAAGCTGGGGACAAGTGCCTAGACCCAAGGCTGGAATAAAGAGCGACAAAAAAAAAATAAAAATAAAAATTGCTAGGAAAGTAAAAAAGAGTATCTCACAAATTTAGTATTCATTTCTATCCCGAACTCATTGTGGCAAGAAGTGTAGCTACATTCCCATTCCTACTTATCACATGTCAAACACTATCAATGGTAATTAAACTATCATTTCCGTTTCATTTCCCATATTCTCATTCTTGATATTTGATTCCAAGTAACCAAATAAAGCCTCAAAGTAATCAAATACATACATTCTGCTCTACCAGGTTTTCAGTGCATGAAATTTTCAAACCCAACCTATGCAGTTGTCAAAATTTCCACGTGCAACTAAACAAAAAAAAAAAAAAAAAAAAAAAAAAAAAAAAAAAAAAAGAATATGGTTATAAACAAAAAAACTCAAATTCAAAAAGGAATATGTTATAACCTTCAATAACATGTCCATGTCCAACAAACCAATGTTACTGCTCACTTAATTTGCAGATGATGTTGCTTAAATCTATATTCATTTGGAAATTGAATAAGGATGCCTAGCTGGAAGATAATGGCTGCAGGATCAACACTGCCAATAACAACCTCAAGATTCCAACTTATACTTTTATCCATCAAAAGGGAAAAAAAAAAAAAAATCTAACAAAGAATACGTTCATAGTTTCCTCCCAAAGTTTGTATTATACTTCTTATTTTACTATTCTACCATTTAACCTCCCAAATACACCATCATCATTCTATTAGAAACATATGCATCTAGCACAACAAACATCAGAAAAAACTGTGTACTCATTCCATTGTTGGGAATTTCAAAATTTCACCTACACCAAGCAAAGATGAAAAAAGTTTTCACCATTATAGGCTACAGTGGTTGTCATAAGACCGAAAAGCAATTTGGCCTAGATCTCTTCTTTTCAAATAATAGATCCATGGGCTAAAAAATTCAATAACAATATCTGTCCAATATTAACAAAATGTTCAGCATATCATGTGTTTGATTAGTGATGGAAAAGGCAAATTCAAGTACATTGACTATTATATTAACTTGTGCTACCAAAAAGACTCACTATAGCAATCTAGGGTTAAAAAATTGCATTGGTTGAATTAACTCTTCCCATAAAAAAATTTTGAACAATTTACCAATTGAGACTCTATATCTGAAATATACCTAGAGCGAGCGACGTTGCCACACTGAATACACTTGGGCTTATTGAGACCGCGGAGGGTCTTCGAAGGCGTGTCCGTACGGTGTGAAGGCAGTGTGGTGGTGGCAGCGCTACCCACATCGGAGCTGGCAGTGCTTAGAGCTGGCGACGGGGCGGCCATGAATGTTAATAGAGGTGGAGCGGATCTCTGCTAGCAAATTTAATTTTCTCCAAAAATGAAAATCAGGGAAAAAAAAGAAAAGAAGAAAAACCAGTTGTAAGGAATAAAGGGTAAGAAAGCGCGAAAGCGAAGAAAGAAAAAGAATCAAATAATTTAGCTGAATTACATGTTACATGGTTGGGATTGCGGAGGCGAGCGACGGTTCTGGCGAAATTTGGGCTTAGGATGCGTAGAGGAAAATTGGTGGTGGGTTTTTATTCTAAAAATTGTGAGAGTTTTGGGATTTCGTAAAAGAACGACGGTTGGTGTTCGCGGCGGAGATTTGGTAGTGGTGGTTGTCGTGGTGGTGGCAGCAGCTTTATGGGTTTTGTACCGGTGGCGGTGTGAGTCGAGAGGAGGTTGGTTTTGATTGAGTTGAGCTAATAAAAAAGAGAAATGGGCTTTTATTTTTAATTTTTTGGACTGGATCTAGGTTTTTCATTGTTGGCCCATTACATATGTTGGATTCTAACTTTTTCTGTAGGAAAAATTAGTATTATGTCTTTATGTATTGGTCAGGATCAGCTTTTATAAAAATACATAAAAAATTAGTATTATGTCTTTCTGTATTAGTCAGGACCAGCTTTTATAAAAATACATAATTATGTTTCTAAGTTATGATTCCGTTAGACACTTTAGTCATTTCGTTTATTTTTATTGTATTTAGCCATGAGTCAAAGCAATAAAATGCGTTCAAAGGATAGAGATGATTTTTTTTAACTAAAATATTCTCAGTCACTCACCACTATCCTCTCCTCTCTCCTTACCCGTCTTTTTATTTTCTCTCTCTTCATTTTCATCAGCTTTCCTTCTTCTATTGTAGGCAAACGACACTCAAAGTATAGAGGATAATTAAATCAAGATCTAGTATAAACTAATCTTTAGAGAAGAATAAATGCTAACTTGGGCTTTCATTTTAGGAAGAGAAGTGCCTTCCTAGTTTGTACAGATGGTTGAGAAGCATCAAATGTGTTATGCATTAATTAACTTATAATAAAACTATATTTTTATATAGAGTTGTTGATTGTGATGCATATGCCTTGTTATGTGAAGGAAAAGAAAAAAAAAAAAAAAACAAGAAGGAAAAAAAAAAAAAAAAAACCAAGATTATAAACATTCTGTGTAAAAAAAAAAAAAAAAAAAACAAGATAGAAATCTTTGTTGCCTAAATGAAAAACTTTTCGGAACTTTCAATCTTCCCTATTGCGATTTGTGAAAGTGGTGGTGACGGACTGATTTTAGTTAGTGAATCTATCGGCTACAGTTGTCTTTTAACAGATCGATGATGTTGAAGAGGAAAATGCCAATATTTTTTTTAATCAGATAATTGAGAGATTAGAAAAAATAGGGATTGACCAAAGTCTGATGGTGGCTTTGGAGATGGTTCTAGTGGTGGTGAGGGCAGCTGTAGATTTTTTTCATTTTTTATTTTTGAGTATTATTTACCAATAGATTACTTTATTGAAGGAATTAATTTAATTAAAGTTATACTAAAAACTAATTTACTTATTTCTGGCAAAAAAATTTTCACTAATTTACTACTTTTTTATTTTTGAGTGTTTTTTATGAATTTGTTTTGTCTCTTTGGAATTTATGAACAAAGTTTATAGGATATTCATCTTTTCATAGCAATTTAACAGTAAAATTCACATAAAATGATGGAAGGACTAAAATGTTTGACGTAATTAAAATTTAGGGACATAATGATATATTTTGAAAAAATAGGGTCCTGACTAATGTATTTATTAAATTCACTATAAGCTAATTTTTTCAATTAATATTTATTAAAGAATACTTGTCCTTATATTAATCATATGATTATCTTCAATAATTGCAAATTATAAGAAAGAAATTATTTCTCAATCTATAATTTTATTTCTAATAACTTTTCAAAAAAAAAAATGTAATACCATGCAATTGAAATTTTTTGGCAACTCAATAAAGCAAATTATTACTTTAATCCTCAACTAAAATGAACCAAATAAAAATATATGCATCAAATTTTAATTTCATGATAAAAAATCCATCGAATACATTATTCAATTAAAGCAATATAAAAAAAGCACATGATATTAATATTAGTTCCATAAGTTAATGTTCAAATATCATTAATTTCATAGGTTTTTTTTTAACATAATATGTTAGGATTTCATTAATAATTTTCGAATCAATACAAATTATACAAAGAGGACATGACCCCTCTCATCAAGACCAGACATAAAATAAAATTATTATAATTTAAATAATTGTTGTTTACTGATCTAATAAGAAATCTTAATAAAAATTGATAGATGAACTTGAAAAAATTGATAACCTTCAAAGTGATTGGCTAAACAAACTCTTTGAATATTTCGTATATGGCTTGATTACCCATGAGCTAGTTGCTTATACAAACACAAAGATTTAAACTATTAAATCTAATGGAGCAACAAGCCACATTATTAGGCTCTAAAAGACAAAGATCATCTCCTATTTAAAAAATCCTTCCCACACATGTCCAAATAAAACAAAACAAATGGTAAAAAACAAAATAAGTACACTACATAAAATTGAGAGATTATAAACTCTACACAAAATGGAGATAAACCACAAATAATAATATAGATCTATACCAAATAGATATAGATTTGTAATTTATTTGATAAAAAACAATAAAAGTTGCAAAAAAAAAAAAAAGAGAGAAATAGGAGGGAAGGGCTATCACAAGAGATAAAAATTAAGCCTTCCTCTATATCTACATGCTTGATTATTATGTTTTGATAGAGAAAAAGAAAAAAAAATTTAATAAAGAAGGAGAGAAGAGAAAGCGGCTAAGGTTTTCTTTTATACTCTAGAGCTCAATCTATCTAGTATGGGAAAGAATCATTATTTTTATGTGTAACAAATTTAAGTATTAATTCTACAAGTAAACATTCAAATAAAATTAGCTCCATAGCGAAATATAAGTTTAAAATAACAATATAGAATCCTAAATATATTGACGGAATAACCTTACAAGTTATTGCCTAATATCCTTAGCAAGGCTAAACAAAACCATCATATGCAGTGAGCTAGTGAGTATTTTAGTCAATGCATAAATTCATCCATTTACTTTACACAAAAACCTTGTGGCACCATTACTTTTTATTTTCATCCATTGAATATTTTCACTTATAAAATTGCACCTATTAAACACTTCAATTCGCAAAAATTTTCTATTAAACATTCAAAATTGTGATAAGCACTTTTTCAGATAGTTAAAAAAGTAAAAAACTTGTTCCAAAAGTTATAGTAATCACATATCAAATCAATAATTTATATATAAAAGCCAAAAATACTAAAAAAAAAAATTTATTAGTGTCATAAAGTGTGCAATGTCACCAAAATTCATAATTTTAAGAGTACAATTGGTCCCTTGTAAAATTTAGGATGCCACTAGGTGTTTTATATAAAGTAGGGTGAATTTATGCATTTGGCTAAATACAATTAGTTCCATAGTTAAACAAAGCGAAATATTAAATCTCTAGGTAAATAAAGTTAAATATAAGTTTAACATAACAATACATAATTGTAACACCCGCCACCCAATCCCGAGAGACTCGACGGCAGATGCCACATTCGGTGCCGGAGACACCGTCTTAACTTAACATATAGACACCGTCTTAACTTAACATATAAATCGTAAAACTAAAATTTTACATTAGAAGTAATTGGGTATTCACAAGTTTCATAAGTATAAATAATATTTATTCCCGGACCGATGATACTATTCACAGACCGGTAACTTACTATTTTAGACACAGAAAAATGGGGCGTTACATAATCGGAGATGGACATGGAAGTGATCGGTCAACGTAACCAAGCAGATTGTGACCACGCAACACAGGAACGATTTGTGCACGCCATGACGGATAATTTTGAGGTGAGAGTTTCAATGGAAACTGTGAAGCATTGATAGAAACCAAAACTTTTCCAGAAGAGTGGAAAACATTAGAAACGTTTGAGGAACCCATTGAAAAGATATCAAGTCTTAATGAAGTAAGCATATCAACTGACTTAAAATATTTCATATTCACTCATTTAATAAATCATATGCTTATCTCCAAATATATACACCAAAATAATTTATTATTACATATAATTCAAATAACATAATCTCCAAAAAATGTAATACTTATACATGCCAATAATTATACATGCCATAATTCTTAAGTACATAAATCTCAATCGACTACTACCAAATTATCTGCTTGATAAGATGCTTCTACTCTTCAAAGTAGGGCATCCACATCTTCAACCTACGCGTGATAAAAATTCGACGCGCTGAGTATAAAACTCAGTGGTGCTCATTAATTCACATACTTTACCTACTTACCAAAGTTGCGATGGCAACTTACTTTAAACACAAATTTCGTAAAATCATTTATAATCATAAAATCATTAAATTTCAACATGCATTTACATTATAGCAAAAGAAATATCAAATAAACTATTACTTAATAACATAAATCATTTAATTCTTTATACCATAAATCCTTTACTTAAACATTTAATCACTATAAATAATTTAGTTCTTTACTTAGAATATCAAATAAACTTATAGTTGTAACATAATAATTTAATTCTTTCAAATCATAAATTCATTACTTGAACATTACATATACTCTTTATTTTTAATACCATGCACCGAAATATCATGCTTAGAAAATTCATTTGATAACATAATTATTAATTTCCAAAGAAAGGTTTACTAAAATAATATGATCTCATTCGTTTAATTTTCTTACAAATATTTTTCATAGGGCTCATATACACGTAGGAGAAAAAGAAGCAGATAGGTTTTCAAAACAGATTCATAATGGCCTTAGGTCGCCAACCTTTTCATAACATATAGAGCGCGTCCGCCCTAACATAAGACACCCACGTGCCTAGCATATGATCATAGCCGCGTCCGCCTATTTGTAAGGGATGATAACCCTAGCATATGATCATAGCTTCACAATAACAAAATCAATCTCATCATACCACGTTTCAATCATGCATAGTAGAGCCCATCGCACACCGTGGCCTATGAGCGGTGGCTGTGAGCGATGGCTGTAGTGACAGTGCACTCACCTTAGGCGAATCCCACATCGGTTAAGTGTGAGAGGGAAGTGATGTACTTAAGGTGGGCGCATATTTTCCTTATTCAAAATTCAAAGCACATACACCTTAAATACCCTTTTTTTTTAAAAAAACTCTAAACATATGAAGGTTATCAAAATAATCATACTTATGTCATATATATAGAAAAAAAATAATAATTAAGTAAGCCTTACTTCCCTTAGGTGGTTTGACCTCTTAATGAAAACCAAGGGGAGGAAATTTTCTTCTCTAATCAAGCATGCTAACATAACT